ATACATTACGTACATACATACATACATTACATACATACATACATACATACATACATACATACATACATACATACATACATACATACATACATACATACATACATACATACATACATACATACATACATACATACATACATTACATACATACATACATACATACATACATACATACATACATACATACATACATACATACACACATACATATATACATACATACATTACATTACATTACATTACATTACATTACATTACATTACACTACATTACATTACATTACATTACATTACATTACATACATTACATACATTACATACATTACATACCTTACATACATTACATACATTACATACACTACATACATTACATACATTACATACATACATTACAGTACATTACAATACATTACACTACATTACATTACATTAATATACATACATACATACATACATACATTACGTACATACATACGTACATTACATACATGAATACATACATACATACGAACATTGCATACATACATACGAATATACATGCATTACATACATATATACATGCACACTTACATGCATACATACATACATACATACATACATACATACCATACCATACCATACCATACCATACCATACCATACATACATACATTAAAGAACATTACATTAATACATACATACACACATACATACATACATACATACATACATACATACATACATACATACATACATACACTACATACATACATAACATACATTCCTTGCATTACATTACATTACAGTAGACTACATTACATTACATTACATTGCATTACATACATTACATACATACATACATACATAACATTACATTACATTAGATTACATCAAATTACATTACATTACATTACTTTACATACATACATACATACGTATATATACGTTACATACATGGCATACATTACATACATACATTACATTTTATACATACATGCATACATACATGCACACATACATACGTACGTACGTACATACATACATACATACGTACGTACGTACATACATACATACATGCATACATACATACATACATGAATTACATTACATTACATTACATTACATTGCATTGCATTACATTACATACATACAGTACATACATACATAAATACATACATACATACTTGCATACATACATACATTACATTACATTACATTACATTACATTACATTACATTACATTACATTACATACATACATACATACATTACATACTTACATACATACATAAATTCATACACACATACATTGAATTACATACATACATGCATGCATTACATTGCATACATACATACATACATACATACATACATACATACATACATTGCATTACATTACACTACAGCACAGCACAGCACATTACATACCAGTGGTCAGACCATACCATACATACATAGCAGAATCGCATGCATGTGTATGTATATATATATATATAAATTTAACATACATGGGAGACATGTTCTTGTCCTTGAGCCATGGGACTTGAAATGGGTGATGATGTTTCACTGCCCGACAGCTGTCATCAGACTGCTCCCAAAAGTGCTCAGTGGGAATGAAACAACCCAGAGAACTCCCAAATTGACAGCCAACTTAGCCGGCATGTTGCAATTCCGACCCCACAAGTGGAGGGTGAAGGGGGCTGTCGGAGAAGTTTTCTCGGGGAATTTACATATCCGTTGTGTACAAGTACTCGGCCGACAAATTTCCACCGGGGGGGGGGGAGTAGATGGCCACCCCCAAACCCAATAATGGGCATGATTTCAGGGTACCCAATAGAGCGAACTTTTTCCGGGCCGAAAAAGCAAACAAAACTACTAAACCAATACTAAGCCAATTCTAAACAACACTGGGCCAGCTCAAAGATGTTTGTCTAAGTCTGGGTTCTGAAAATCACTTTCAGGTGTGGTTTCCCTTTTAATGTGCGGGCCTCAATAATTAAGAGGGGGTCCTCCCCCCTTCAAACAAATCTTCGAGCCTAAACAAAGAAAACGGCTGAAACAATGTGGGGATCAGATCGGCCTTTCCTAAGATGAGTACTGGCTTAGCATTGGTTAGTAGGTTGAGATTTAGTTGATTATTGCTTTGCTGTAGTACTGGCTGAGTATTGGCTTGGTATTGGTGTAGTGCTTTGGTGCTGGCTTACTACGCTTTCGCACCTGGCTTTCAGACGCAACTTCGGGTCTAGGGTTCGTGGCGGTTGATCTTTATTCTTAGGCTGGGTCTCCCAGTGTTCAGATCAATGTCCATTGCTGTCATGGCCTGCCTGCTGGCCTCCCGAAAATTTGACATGGACCCTTCGAGATTGCCTTGGGAAACCAAAAGGATACTTTTGCCATTTCTACTTGCGTCCAGCTCCTGTAGCTAAAACACCCATACAGGTTGTCCAAAATGGGAACCACATGTTTTCGACGGGAAACCGATTGGACACCAACCATCTTATTTTTGAGATGCATCCATAAGTGCCACGTTCGAAATATGTGGATCCCGTCATGGACACGGGGAAGTTAATTAGTCCCCTTGCTTTTGGCGGGAACTCCCCCAACGCCCCTCAAATTGACCATGACTTCTGGATGTTTTCACCGAACCTTACGCGGGTGCGATTTTTCGAGGGTACCTTGTGAAGAAATTGAATAAGACACCGCACACGTTTGAGGCTCCCTGGCTTGGGCGAATCCTTCGTTTACTGCAACTATCTTTTCAACTACGGTATAAACAACCTGTTGTTACCCTTTACACAAGGTGAGGGTCTGCTGAGAAATTTGGTCCAACTATCCCACCCGCGCCTTGGAATGATCCAACCCGCCAGCGCTGGCGGAGCCGCTCAGCGGTTGCGTGGCCTACCAGACTATATGAGGGGTTGGACAGGGCTCCTTCTGTGTCGTCGAACACCACCCGAAGGGGAAGTCAATCAGAACCAAAATTGGCAACCACAGGTGATGGGACGTACTATAAGGACCACTGGACCAGAAAGCAATCCCGTTCGCGCTGGAAAAGAAAGGGTTGAAAAAGGTCATCAATGAGTTTTTGGATTGGTCGATGATAGGTGGGTTTGGTAGTTGATAAACAATCATCTGAAGAGCAAGCAATATGTGTTGCTCTTTTAGTCTTGTATCACAAATGACTAGCGACGGCGGACTCCGGGCTAAAACAACCCCCAGGCAACATTCTTTTCAAGGCAACCCGGCGCGATGCATTCGGCATCAAAAATGGCATAAAAGGCCGAGCATGGGCCGTCAATTGACAACTTCCCATGCTGGAATACCTGAAATACTCGTGCCTTTGTGGAAGCTTTTCTTCCACCATGATACTCTAAGCTTGGTCACCAGCTTTGCTGAGCGACGTTGCCTTCCGTGCTTGCGTGCCTTACTTGCCTTGCTCTGCGCCTTTCGGCGTGAGCTCGCATCTTGAAGGAATTTGTCTTCGATTTCAGGGCCCCCCCCAAAGACCATTATATCAAGCCGGCCGTGCCTCGTTGCACCTGCTTGCAGCTAGGGAACTCAAGTTGGCCGTGCAAAATCCATGACTTCCACCATCTTCCACCATCTTCCACCCCACACGAAGGTTCCTCCAAGCCATGGCCTTTGAAGGCCCCGAATTCAGTGCCACGGCGCTCGATTGTCCCTCACTGGCTTCGGGATGGCTGGGAGCCGCGGTCGCGCGTGAGCGAGTGAGCGGGCCTGTCTCCGGAGCTTGCTCGGAAGATCTTTATCCTTGGTGTTGTGTTGGGCAACTTCACAGCCACTAAGACAAAATGGGATCATTGGATGTTCAACCCACTTAGTTCGTATGGTATAACCATGGCCACAAAGGGTTCTGACTTTTCCTTCACAATCAGAGACTCGCTCCACAGGATATGGGGTACCTCCCTTGCCTCCCCACACACGACGCAAGGCCTGGAGGACTTTCTCTGAAACAACACGCGCCTGGTCCTGCCGAATCTTGCCAGGCAAGCGGGCGCCCTTTGGCAGCCGGTAGGGTGCAAGATGATCTTGACCAGTGGGCCGCCTGCGCTGAAGCAAACGGCCCACAGGCCAGCCATAGGATCAGAACGGGCCGATCGTCATGTGCGCGAACTGAGCTTGGTACGCTTTCGGGGGTGCCATGGGACTTGAACAAACGGCCAAGACCCAGAGTTGGATTTTAGAGCAACGGTGCAATGTGGATGCCTGTGAACAGTCACTATGGTCACCAAACCTTTTCGGATGCACTCGAACCTCAAGGGCAAAAGCGGAGGTGCACGGGGCGACCCAACCGCCATTGAAAAGACCCTGCAAGCCCGACCTGCCTCCCGTTTCAAACAAAGACCGAGTCTTATGGCTGTGATCAACAGCGATTTGGATCCTTTCGCATGAACGATCCAAAAGAAAGCCGACAGGCAAGCTTGTTGATTTGGAGGCGTGCCCAGCTCGCGTGTGCCCAAAATCACGAGACCACGGTTTAGCTAATAACCAAAGAAATCCCACACCGACTCAATTGCCAGAGCGTTGGCTTTTAGTCCCACAAACTTGCTTGGACATTATTCAAGCTTCCGCGAACCCTTCCGTTTGCTTCCGCAAACCTTCCGCGGCGCATGGTTTACAAGATTGTCATTTTAAGTAAGGTAGTGTTTTGCCGCAGCCTGTGTAGGCTTGGGCTCCATTGGGCTACCCATGCTACGTGGCCACTTGCCTGAAAACACGCGGCCACCCTTCCGCGGAGCTTCCGCGAAGCTTCCGCAAACCTTCCGCGAAATAAGCCCTTGGCTTGCTGTCGGCAACTGCTCTTCGAGTAAGCGTTGCGTTTCTTGTACGCAACACCTTTTTTCTTCTGCAATTGTTTCTCCGTGCTTTTCCACGCACGCAGTGAAACAATTAAATTCATATCAGCCACAAAGCTGCCGCACACCTTCCGCAAAATCCCTTCCGCGAAGCCTTCCGCATGCTTCCGCGCGTGGCGCGGTGCGTTTTCGATAATGTCCCTCTCCCTACTGAATTAGCTTGCGGCCAAAAACACCGCCGCTCTTGCAGGCCAGCTGCGGGACACAAATCGTGCCGGCATCCGGACTTCGATTAAAGGCCTCAAGCTGCCGCAGTCGGATGACACACCCAGAAACACGTTTACCATTTGCGACTTGCAAGGTCGTTACTTGAGTTGCCCCAAAAGACCCTGTTTTTGAGACCCACGATCTGTTCATTGGCCTATAAACCAAACGACAAATCGGAGGTCGCAAACAGCTTTTAGCATCCGTCGGCCAAATGTTTTGCCCTTTCCCTGGAACCGAACGCCTTTTGCTGCTTTTTGCGTGACAACTTCTCCGAGAATAGTCTGCCACACGCAGAGAAGGCCTAGGGCTGGCTGGGGTTGAGCATGTTCTCAGCCATTCAAGGGGAACCAACTTGAAAACCAACCAATTCGCAAGGACACAAGTCAGATACCCAAAAGGACCCAAAAGAACTTCAAAATGATGTTCACCTGCAAAACAGTATGGTTTCCCGTTGGCTTGCCTTTACAAGCAAAGGGGGGAGCCTCACACTGACGAAGGGCAGCTTCTGGGCGTCTGAGCGCCGGGCCCATCCCCGACCATCTGCCAGCTTCAAGAACAGCATGTCTCTCGAGCCTCACATCGGGAATGTGTCGAAACCAGTGACACCTACCAAATTCAGCTGGTTTCACGTTGGTTTCCTTTGCCGATGCAAGGCGCCCCTTGCTTTGATACCTTCCCACATCCGAAAGCAAATGGCACTTCAGCTGGCCATATCATTTGACCCCGAGCTCAAAGAGCTCTGCCAATTCAAACGCACGCTGGGCTAGGCCGCACACCCTGTTGTTGCTCTGACACTGTGAACGCGTCGCCGGGCAAGATCTTTGCTCCGCTCTTGGGCGCGCTCAAGCCTCGGCGTTCCGAGACAAAAAACGCAAAAAACAAGTGCTACCACATGCTGCTACAAACGCACCACAGTGAACAAAATGCAGCCATGGCACTTGGGCGCACTCTAATGGCCAAAGCCTCGGGTGCCATTTGCTTTCTGTGCAGCGCATGCTTTCACTGTGTGAGTTGAAGGCCCAAGGGAAATCAAGCTAACGGGTGGCAGGTTAGCAGTGCAGGGGCAGCAAAAACTGACAGACGACAGGAGTGGAGATGCCAATTGACTACTGTGTGGTAACATCGACTGACAATTCAAGAAATCATGACACATTGGTTTGAAAGGAGCGTGGTCCAAGGGAGTCCAAGGCGGGCCCACTGGCCCAGGGCTCATATTTATATGACGCATAGAATATATATATATATACCGATATGGCTTGATCCCTTACAATTCCCGGCATTTCCCTAAGGCCTAGAGAAACTCAGCTTAAAGGGGCCAAAAGGTGATGACACAACCTGGTAAGGGGAAATCTAGTGAACCCCGTCTGTGCATCAGTCCCTTGGGCACGCCGAGCGCTATCCGAGCAGCCGCGGGGTTGCGGGGCCGAAAGCACCAGACCTCCCGTGGCTGCTGGCCGCCCGCCCGGTCCTTTGGCTGCGGGGCACGCCTGCCGGGGTGCATCGAACAACGATTTATTTGCAAACCAAATGTCATTGGTCGACTTGAAACCAATTCGGAGGAGAATGATTCACCCCAAAACGACAAAACATGAGACGCGTCGAGCTTGTTTTGTCCGTACCAAACTGGGTTCCATGTCCGCATGCCTCACATTGAGCAACCTTTGCGACATCGACCTTATCAGTCGAACAGCCTATTCCGAACCCTACAACGGATTCGCCAGAGAATAGGAGGCGGGAATGAGCAGAACTTGAGAGGAGGGGAGGTACGGTTGACTCCATAGGGAACGCAGGAGGGCAATGGGCTGCGGAGTGAACAGTTTACCAAATTTACGAACTTTGCGGGAGCGAGGCGAACTTCTGCAAACCACTAAGGGTTTTTGCAAACCACCAAATGCCAGATAATGTAGGGAAAACACAACTCCAAGTGGGTTCTGCTGAGGGGGGGGGAATTCTGCGAAGGTCTACGAAGTTCTGCGGACTGATGCTTTGTACTCCTTAGCATTCCCCTTTGACGAGCCTCAACAAATAGCCTTGGGAGCGTCAGACGGGATTCCGCCTGCTTTGGAATTTTTATCTTGGCTTCATGCCAGGCGCATGCCAAGACTGCAAGCAAGTTTTCCCCGCCCAAGTTTCCAAGCCAACGGGGCACAGGTCAAAAAGCGGCATTCGGAACCCCCTACATGGTGGTTTTCCTTTTGGTTCAAAGGTGGCGTGGCTGCTGATTAAAGTTCCGGCTTCTGGAGACGCCGCGGAAAATATCATCTCTTTCGCGCATCTTTCGCAAGTCCATCGCCACACTTTTTTGTTTGCAGCGTGCGCTCTGAAGCCCTCGTTGCAGCTGCAGCTGCGCTTTCCAAACATGTCGCTACGCTGTTCACTTGCGCTGGCAGGCTTGCACCAGCGTGACACGAAAGGAGTGACTACCATTCGCCCTGCCGTGGCTGCTTCATGGGCGCAGATCTTTCGCGAAACTTTCTTTCCCAGCACAAACAGGGAAACAAGGTCGCAAGCAAAGGTGTTGCGCATCTTCCGTCTACAAGGGAGTGGGGTCTGCACATATGTATTCATGCAAGCATGCCCCCAACAAGCTTTCGCTAAACCTTTTGAACAAAAAACAATCTCTTTCGCAAACTCCATCACGGCGGGCACAAATGCCTGCAGTGCTATGGTTCTCCACGGTACAACCCTTCACAAGGCCCTTTTGATCAACTCCAAATCAGACATTCTCATATTATATGAGAACTGAAAAGCGACCTGGGCTAGGGCTTTCGCAAGCCTCGCCGGTCGCCGCGGAGGTGGTGGCGCGTATCGGTCCGCCTCTCGGAACTCGCCCTCAGCGCCAAGGGAATCCAATTCCGGGCTCAAGTCAGGTCTGTTGAACACCAACGAGTGCTTTGCGGGCCTAGCTCAAGAAAGAACCCACGATCACAATCATGATTATCAGATATTGTCAGCTTTAAGACCAAAGTGGAGTGCTAATCATTTGAATGTGCGGTAAGAGTGCCATAGGTCTTGCCTTCCAACAAGGCCGCGGGGAATTGTGGAACCATTCGCCAAACATCGCATGAGGTTTAGGTAGGGCCATCCCCCAATAAGCTCGTACCAGAGAGGTTGCCAACAAACCAGGAAAAGGGGGATAACGTGTGATAATCAACATGTGAGGCAGACCCCCAAAACCGAAGACCTCCAACCAACGGGAAAGGATTATGCGTTCAACCCCACATGTTTCTGGACAATGCATGGTCCCGGGTGGTGGGATTCCTTCCCGAGGTAGGAATCCGCTCTTTAACAAGCGCACAATTCTACAACCCAAACAGTGCGGTTTTAAAAGGGAACACTGCAAAGCACAAACATTCGGCCCAGTTTTCTCTCCGACGTCTTGCTTCTCGCAATCCTGGTGAGCCAGTGAAGTGAAGGACAAGGGAGACAACGACTTTTTCCTGCCCTAAGATTGGATTGGAGCTTTATCACTCTGGGTACCTAGAGGGATCCCGAGAACAGTCTCCTGACTGATGATCAAAACGCGTGAAGAGGTAAGCCTAGGCAGCTCGGATTTGGTCGGATTTCCGAGTGGGCTGATTTGGCAGGCGCTGTCCTCTCGGCAGTCCTTACTCGTGCTGAGCCAGGCACGCCAGTTCTCCTCCTTGCTGCGTTGGCCTCTTCAATCCTGGGAGAGTCAGATTACGGACAAGTCTTTGCGCAAAAAAAGGCCACTTGCATCTCTCTGAAAAGGGGGGATAAGATTCGCCTCCGTCCGACCCCCCCCCCCCCGCGTCAGAGGGAATAGTATGCATTGTATGACCGGGCGGATTTGTTAGTCATCCAAAGCCTGTTTTGTTTTCTCTTCTTTTTTCTTCTTTTCTCCAATGTTTGCAATCATGTCAATTGTTGACCAGCAATCTTCCTGCAGTATTTCCTCAATCTTGTGGTCCTGACTAGAACGCTGCAACCTCCCCCCTTGACTGTTTGCATGTTGAAAAAGTTGAACAAAACACGGTCTGGGAGTTGTCATGTTTGTTGCTTTTTTCTTTCCGGCCAGAATTGAAACATATGAAAACAATAAAGAATCCAGGCAGCCTCTGGCAAGTCTACGGGAAGAGCTCGGATGGTGATAATGATAAATATGATGATTATAATGATGATGCACATGCAGGGTCCTTTTGTTTTTAATTTGTTCAATTATTCCAATAATTGAAATAGTTGAACAAATTGATAAAATGAGACACACAAAACACATGAAACACATGAACCATCCAGAGCCTTCCCCCCTTATCATCATCATTTTCATCATCATGTTCATCATCATCATTTTCATCATCGCATCATCAGCATCAGCATCAGCATCAGCATCATCAGCATCACCGTCATCATCATCATTAGCATCATCATTTTGTCATCACCGCCATCCGAGCTCTTCCCGTTGTCTTCCGGCTGGATTCTTCCTTTTTCCCTCTTTTAAAATTTTTCACTTCTGGCCGACAAACATGAAAACTCCCAGACCGTGATTTGTTCAACCTGTTCAATTCTTCCAAATCCGACACAAAGAAAGAACTGGACAAAGACAAATCCAAGACAATTCGGGTGGACACTGATCCGCAGCCACTCAGTCACTCGAGGGGCAGCCACTCAGCCACTTGGAGTGGCTGAGTGAGGCTGAGTGGCTGGGGGCACTGCTGACCCCCAGCCACTCAGCCACTCTGACCCCATGCCGTTCTCTTTTGTTATCTGACTCTTTCTTGATTTCTTAGGCCTTAAAATGAAAATCAGCTTATTATACATTAGCTTGATGTTTTTACATATCATTTATCGTTCTAATTTATACGAATTCATTATGTATGTCAATCTAATATAGAAAGGTTTCTGTCTTGTCTTATTATATCTATGTCTCCTACTATCATCTTCTACTATTGCCTTGTTTCTAATCTGTTACCTCTCATATGCAGTTCTTGGCTCCAAATTCTAGAATTATTTGCTGAAACGGAAATGGATAAGAACCGCCATCACATTCTTTATATTCTTTATGTGGGACATTGCAAAATTAGCACTTTCGCGGCCCCGTTGTTTTTGTGCACGCCTACCTTGGAATGTAAAGGGATGGATAGGATAGGTGGAGTCTCTATTTCACCCTCTATCGTATTTCCAACTCATTGCTTTCCATCGAACACCTTGAAAGAGCACTATTATCTTCCTCTTTGTGTTGTCTTTTCTTAGACATAGAACTATTGTCAGACTACTTGGGTTGCCTATATTTGATTTTGGGTTCTGGGTGTGTGACTGTATGAGTGTGATGATGAGAGAGTCGTTGTTTAGAGTTGGTCTTATTGTTTTTTGCATTTGTTTTGAAGGGCAACCAAAGAGAAGCGCAGGTTTCAGAGCGAGCAACCAGGGGGAACAAGGAACCAACAGGTGAAGCTTCAATCTATGTGTCTAGGGGAATTAAGGGAAACCCGGATATACTTTCAATGGATATCCTGTGCGATCCTTTCATTTGTCAGGCTCCCCTGATGTAAAGATCCCTCCAAATAAAGCAATTTGTTTGCTGCAGCGCTTCCGCGTTCTCTGAAGAGTTCCTGCCTCCAAGAGAAGAGTTTGGCTTGTTTTGGGTTGTTTTTTGGTTTACGTAGTCAAAAGACAAACAAAACACCAGCATGTTTGGTGGTCCTATGTTGAGACGAACCTAGAAGGGTCCACTTTCATTAGGTGTCTATCTTGCTTTTCATATTAAATTCTCTTACTATCGTCATCTACTATTGAATAACTGCAGTTGGCCGAGGTTAAAAGAAGACTGAAAGGAGCGCGGTCGCTTTTATGCATATTATTCCCTGCCACCCCCACAACCTCCAACTTAAATCTCCCTTAATGCCGGTCAAATCCCTTGCAAAAACCGGTCAATTTCCACTAACTCCGGTCAAAATGTCCGGTCAAAGTCAAATCCCCTCTAAAACCCGGCCTTTTCACACTCCCATTAGACCACACCTTGGTTTCCTTTCCCTGAAACTCCCAAGCACACCCCATCTCCCCCCACCGTCCGGTCCTATCGGCTGCCTTCACCGCCTCCAAACGCTGCCGCACATAGTCCCGCTCCTTCTCTGCCGCTGAGAGCCGCTTCTCCAGGCGATCCTTCAGCGACTCCTGGGATGACCCGAGCAGAATTACCCTGGCGCATGCTGGCGGGGGTGTTTCTACGGGCAAGGAGAGTCTTAAAAGCCATACCGACCGAAATTTTAGCAAGCTGGTGAATTTATCAACCTGCCAGTAGATGTACATAACCACTTTAGCTTAAAGTGTGTGGAAAGCAGCAACTTGGCAGGTGGTGGATTGTCGGCTCTCCAATATGGGACACCCCTATGAATGGACCAAGCGTTTATCAATCCTCGGCTCTCACGAAGCCGAGTAGAAAGCTGGTAGGAGGAAGATGTCCAGGCCGATTGATTGGTAGCCTCTGTTTCGCACTTGCCTTTTTTTGTGTTGAGGGACCCTCTTTTGTGTTAGTCTGCTTCTTCAGTTTTGTTTTGTTTTCTCCAGAGACTGAAGCTTTCAAAGAGCCTGAAGCTTCCAGATTGCGTTTGGGCATGAGCCTTGGCAGAACCACTGCGAGGTCGGGTGACTTCAGTGTCTTTCCGCTCGTTTGTTTTTTTGGGGGGGACTAACATATATATATATATATATATATTCAACTCTCACGCCCATAACAAAACAACCGTCCAAACACCTGGCAACATCGTATCCTCCTGAACGCCCTTTTTGCATGCAGCATGATCTAGAACCAAGCGGATTTAGCTTGGGTTGCCAAAGAATCAGTCGAGGAGTTGCACTGTTGCACCCTTCAAATTTCAATTTCCGACACCCTACAACAACAGTGCACTGCGCTGACATTAGGACGACCCAGCCAAAGGTATGTATGTGAACCTGATGGATGGGAGAATGATCAAGATGATGCACACGTGCCTGCAAATAACTTGGTAACCCTTGCATCCCGATTCATTGATGACGGGTCACAGCATGGAGAAGGAAGCAAATGCTCCATCTTGTGCAAATGATCTCTAATAGCTGACACGGTATGCTTTCAAACATGTCTGGCTGTGTATCAACACGAAAGCCTTTTTGCCTTTTTGTTCCAGTAGAGCACTGGACCAACAGGAAACCAAGCCACTTGGAGGGGCCCCCAACCCAACCCAAGCATATTCTTAGCCTTTCTACTCTCTCACAAGGCCTCAATGTTTGGCACCTTCTTGGAAAGGATGGTTCTGAGAATTCCAACTGGAACGAGCGCGGCTCTTGCCGCTGGACTGGCCTGATTGTTTCACCACGAGCACCCAACTAGGCTCGAAGTCCGACTGTGATCACCCCCAAGAAGCAGAAACAACAAGGCTTCCTTGAGGCGGACAAGAACCACGTCAAGTCAAGGCACCATCTTCTGCATCTGCTCTTGCATCTTGGCCAGTTGCTCATTGAGGGTCTTCTTCTCTTTCATCAGCTTTTCCTTGGCTCACTCACTTTCTGGCGAGATCTCGAGTTACGTCCATGTCTGGCCACGATTGTTGAAAGGGACTTGTCAGCGTTCGAAGTACTTTCCATACGCCAAAGGGAAGCCTCAGAAACACCTGGACCTGTCTCCTCTCTCAAGTTGCTCGGGGCTTCCCAGGCATCAAGAACACAGATCTGTCTGACGGAACAACCAAGGCAAAATGTATTGCTGGCGCGACTCACATTCTTGCTCTCAGACTTTCATGTTGGATGTCAAAGAAATGGAACCAATACCTTTGGATGCATTGCACGGTTCCCAATTCCTCACCAGCCAGTCCCTGCCTGTGCCTGCAGAACTCAGGGCTGCCAAAAGCAACAAACTTGCAATTTGGCTCCGGCCATCACTCAACGAAGAAACACGCACCTAACCTTCGAAAGCTTGAAAGCTCAACGCTTGGGTGTGTCTGAACGTGGAAAAAACATTGCTTCCCTTTGGCTTTTCACAAAAGCACCCACTTCAAATTGTCGTTTCCGAATATAGGGGCCCTTTTTGGAGGGTGTTTGCAGGGAGACCCAAGCACCAGGGTACGGTTTGGCTTTGCATTTCGACCCAACCCCCTTCCAGGGTGCTAGTGATAACTCGGAGACGAAAAGTGCATGGAATCCGCAAAGTGCATCCAGCCTGTGTACTATCAGCGTCCAACTCCGATTTTTGAACGACGATTCTAGATGGGGTCCAATTTCGAGTTTGGGTTTCGGCCGTTTACTAGGCTTGTCGGTAAACTTCGCAAACAAGAACCAGTCAAACCTGTGTCCTAGCAATGTCCCTTGAAAACAAAACACCAAAATCGTACCCCCTAGCAGCAGAAAAATAAAATGTCATATAATGGATGTCTCTGAACATAGGGGACCCCTCTTTTGGAAGGCCCCTAAAGGGCCCCCAGGTTATGGTTCGGATGCGCCCTTTGCGGATCCACCTTGGATTCCAAGCAAGACGAATATCTTGTAAAATTGATAAAGTCGTCTTGGGGATGGGCCACTTTGGCATCAAAGAGTTATTTCCACAATGGGTTTGCCAAAAACCGAAGGAAACAACTCGGTTGAGGATGTTTCCCTCACAAAGGAAATCCATTTTTTCGCGTCCACAACTTCCCCCCCAAATATATATATATATATAACAAAGAAGACAAACAAAGAGAACAGAACAAGCATATATTTTCTCAACACTATTCAATACTATTCAAGTCTTTTTGACCGCACCCCAACCAGAGCCTGCCGCTTCAGAACCCTTCGTCTCTCCCTCGACTCGGAACCCGAGCCCAGGCACCACCTGGCGGTAGGCCTCCCGCTCCGCCTTGGAGGCTGAGGCCGTGTTCTGCTGCAGGCGCCGCAAATCGTCCAGCTCCTTCCGTGCCCGCTCCAGCTCCTGGGAATCTGGGTATGTGGGTGTGTCCTTGTTTTGTTAGGGAAACTCTGTTGGATGGTTTTAAGGGAACCCACAATTGTTGGGCCCGTGTGTCAAAATGGTTGCCCTTTCTGATTTGCTTTTACAACTTCTAGAAACAGAGACAGACCCAGTGTTTGGGACATGCCAAACACCCTTTAAGCAGGTAACATGATTATGTATGCCTGCAATGGAAAATGCAGGGTTGTAGATCTTAAACTAGTTTTGAAAGGAAAACACTTAGGCAAACGGACTAGAATTGTCCTCATCGCTATTTTGAAACCAGTTCTCAATGCTTGCTTTTGTCGCCACGTTCAGAATGCAAGAACCCCCATTCACAACAATCCAGCTGACACATTCTTTCCGAGCCCCCGAACCACGGGTTTTGCGTGCTTCCTGTAGCTTCTTCGCTAGTTTCTTGGACTGAAGTGGACCATCATGTTGTGGAATGCCATTTTACTAGGGCGTTTCCAGGAAGATGCAAGAAACCTTCCGTAGTGGATTCTATGCTTCCCTTGGCCTTAGTGATTTGAGGTAGGACATGCCCCCCAAATCAGGTTGGGGGAATTGCCAACTGTGATACTGAAAAAAAAGGCCTTTCCAAAGTCTAATATTATTTTCATTGGGTGGTTCCGCACAGAAGTGGATATGCTTCTCATTGGGACCCTTTGGTCAACACTCATTTTCAGATTGGTAAACCACAACAGAAGGAAGGAACCTTGCTCAAACTTGGACGTCTTGGAAAGCTTAAACAGGGGAAGCACCGTGAGCGAAAACATTCTGGTGAGCGAGTCCGCGTTCTAACAATCTGAGTGGCACAAAATGGGCTTGAAACCTGAAAGAAATAGGAACAGACCTGCAACTTGTGAAACGGTTTGTAGTCCCAACATTGGGGACCCTTAGTTCTAAAACAAAAAAAACATAGTGATTTCCCAAAAGGAAGCCAGTAAGGGGATCTTTCACTTTCGGAAACAATTTAGGACATGTGGGGTGAAAGTAGATGGCACAACTCCCCTTGTTTTGGTTTAAGCATGCCCCTTCCTCATCCGCATAAAGCGAACAGCGCCATCTACTTTCAGCCTGGCGTAATCCAGCATATCATGTTGCGCCTGGCTAGAGGCTGCGAGCTCCCGCTGGTTCTGCTCCAGCATTTGACGCAAAGCCTCCATCTCCTTTTGCATCTCGCTCACCTCTCAAACAGCGAGGTGACACCGAACACGGAAAGGAACTTGTCGGGCAGTCTGTGTCCTCCTGGCCCCAATGAAAGGGATGCCTAAGACAAGGTTCTCCAACCGTCTACCTGCAAAAGGTGAACCAGTTCTGACGAAACGTGCGAGCCCTGCAAATGAGGGATGCCCCGTTGTTTTTCGGTCCACCAATTGGAGCCATTCCATATTGATGCCCATCCAGAATGTGCGAGCCAAGCCTACCATGTGATTGTCGCAACACAGAATGCCTGTCCCAAAAACCCAGCAGTCAAGGTCGCTTGGATGGGTGAGTCCAAACAGTATTCCCCGCCAGAGGCTTCACCAAAACTGTGGACATGGGCTTTCTCGGTGACTCAAAGCCCGGATTCTCCGACGCGATGGCAACCTGTAAAATGAGTTGGACACTTTGAAGGGAACCAACATGAAACTAATCAGTTGAGGACCCCCGATCCCCCAAGAATGCCACATCCCCGCCGACTCATCTCATAAACTCTCGCACTCTTGAATAGACGGATTGTGCGAACGTGACTGACACCGAAGTGGGTCACTCATTGGGTTCAAAGTTGGCTTTACAACAAAAGGGTCATGGCTCCTAAAGTATGTAAAGTATGGATTGTGTAGAAGTTGCGGATGAGAAAATGAGGTTCCCTGGCCACTTCCTGTCGAGTCACACCAAGGGAGGGAAGGGAAAGCTGAAGGAAAACCTGGGATTCCCCAACATTCGCCAAACACTTTTGATTGTCCGACATCCTCGAAGAGCAAGGTTCCAAAAACCTATTGGCAATGACTCGGGGCACCTGGTCCGCGAGTTTCTCCTGCTCCGCCTGTCAGCTTCCGGCAACCAAAGGATATATCCTATGGTCAAAACTCCACGGTCAGGTCCTGCAGCAGAAATAACACCTTGCCCTGGTGCTGGTTGATGGTCTATGACCCTGGTCTAAATTCCCTGTTGCGGGGTCCCTGCCATCCTGAAGCAATAGGCTGCTTTGACAAAGGCGCATATTTGGGCATGCTTTCCTAGAATGTGCCTTACGAATAGGCTCCAATGCTGCATTTGTTGAAAAACACAGACCATGCGCTATTCTTGTGACCCCAACAACATTGGGAAAAATGACAAACCAATCAAATACAACAATGAGGGTAGTAGTTGATTTGGTGACCTCTTCCCAACAGTCTTTTCTTCATGCTCTTGGTTTTCATGGTGTTTTTCCCCAAGCAGTTTACTGTAGGGGTTCTTGATTCTTTTAGGATAAATGGGTTCGTTTGGTCGGCTTCCTTCCACTCTGTCTCGCTTTGTCTCCCCTTGTCTCCCTTCATATGTGCCCAAACTCGGTTGGACGGGTTGCTGCAGCCTTGTCTCCCTTTGTCTCCCCTTTCCGTCATGTGCTTCAGGCTTGGTTCGGTTGGACTAGTTCCTGCTGCCTTGTCTCCCTTTGTCTCTTGTCTCCCTTCATATCTGCTCCCAAATCTGTGCTCCAGGAGTTCAGTTGGTGCTTCAGGCTGGTTTCGGGTGGACGGTTCCTGCCGCCTCGTCCCCTTGTCTCCCCTTGTTTCCCTTCCTGTAGCCTTGTCTCCTCTCTCCCTTCATATGTGCTTCAGGCTGGGGCTCGGTGGTCTCTACCTTCATTTGTCGCCCGTTGCCGCATCGCCGGGCCGCATGCTCGCCGGTGTGAGCATTAACTTCTCTCCCAGCAAGTGCCTTCATTTGTCTCCCGGTGCTGCCAGATCGCCAGGCCGCACACTTGCCAGTGTGGCATTTACTTGTCTCCCAGTATGTGCCTTCATTTGTCTTCCGGCGCTGCCAGATCGCCGGGCCGCATTTACTTGTCTCCCAGCATGTGCCTTCATTTGTGCCCCGGATCGCTGGGCCGCATGCTTGCCAGCGCACATTTACTTGTCTCCCTGCGTGTGCCTTGATTTGTCCCCCTGGTGCTGCCAGATCGTCGGGCCGCATGCTTGCCAGTGTGCGCATTGACTTGTCTGCTAGTGCGTGCCTTCCTTTGTGTCTCAATGCTGCAGCGTCCGGCCAGATCGAAGGGCCTCGTTTTTCTTGTCGAGTCTCGCAGTATCTGCCTTCATTTGTCTCCCGGTTCTGTCAAATCGCCAGCGCGCACCGCAGATATGCGTGACATGTCAGCAGCGCAGGCCGCTGCTCAGACGCCGGAAGCTCGCGGAGCCGTGCCAGACACCAACTTAAGGCGACGGAACTTCGGCGATGGGCAGCTTTCTGCGCGGGACACTGAAGAGCCCTCAAGGTCAGTGGAGACGGGCTACCATCTGTCGCGTTTGGCGTACGGCGGCCTTTGGCCAGTCAGCGCCGC